GTCAGATGCTTGCCTTCAAGTTGAAATGGAAGTAGTAAGGAATTTCTTACCCTTAATACGCATAAAGGGTTATTTCGGTTTAATAGACTGGTGTAAAAGTCGCACCGGCAATTTTTCAGCAAAATTATAGATACTATGCTGGCCGGACTCGATTTTCAGTTGGATACTTGGCTGATATGATTCGAAGCAAAACGGTAGATGAACACAGGATCCACGTAGCAAGAGTGTTCGAATGAATAAGGGAGTTTGGTTTTAAACTGGCTGAAGACAAATGTGAATTATTTATGTCACAAGTTAAATATTTATGCCAAATTATTGATAGAAATGGTCGGAGACTGGATCCTGTAAAAATAAAAGGGCAATACGAAAAGGATACGCTGGCCCCTTCACACATTTATACATTACAATAATTTTTAGGGATGGTGAATTATTATAGTCGGTATATACCGGAAATGTATTAATTGAGAGCTCCATTGAATGGGCAAAAAAAAAAAAAAAAAAATAAAAAGAAAGATAAACAATAGAATTAGTCATTTGACTGCCAGAATGCATTTAAAAAATCCCACCCCAATAAAAAAAATTTGAAAAACTTCTGAGTTTATGCTGGCAGATATTTGGGACCCTTGATTGAAAATAATAGTAGCTACTCAATACATGGACGGAATTGATATTATTACTCAGAAAAAGATACTAAGGCAAAAACGAAAAGTTTAGTTTTTCAAAAGTGACCAGAGGTCCAGGTAAGATGGATTATGCAGGCGACAATGAATGGTGGGACCATTTAAATAGTAATGTAGACCATACTGGTAACATAGCAGAGCGACAACCTCCACGAGATAATCTAAAAAAGTTAAAATAGCATGATGAAAAATACGCCAAACTTGAGGAAAAAAAATTTTATCGTCTAAATATTTATGCTATTAAAAGGAAAGATCAACGTATTTGGGGGTATTTTTTTTTACATTTTTTTAATCGTTTCTACCACGTCCGAAATTTTCGTTAAATATCTTGTTTTTTTTTTAGTCAGCAAAATTGTCAGATAATCGATCATGGCAACTATTTTTTCCATTTTATAAAAAAAATATGAAAATCTCAGTTTGAAATTCTTTTAAAAATCAATTATCATTTTTCAAAAACTTATTTTAAGAAAATCAGAAATTATAATGTTTATTTAAAATATTTTGAACCAAGCTTAACTTAGCTTCTGCCCCGAAAAGATGTAATTTGAAAATAAAACAAAACAGGTCATAAAATTTCGCATCCTTGACAGGTAATGAATGACATATTGACGAATTACGTGAGGATAATTCCTTCTACGGAAGGAGTGAAGTGAAGTTATTTACATTTAAGTGAACAAATTATTTACCTCGTTATTTTTAAGGAAAACTTTCAGCGCTCTAATTTTTTTTTTTGTACCTAGCTTTCACCTTTACGTTTACGATGCTTTATGTAAAATATATTATAAAGAAATTAAAATAAAACTGTTAAGAGTGAGAGTAATTTTTCTTAAGAAAGGTATCTAATTAATTTATAGGTACCTTTCTTATGAAATTTAATCAGAAGTGTACATACAATACTATAATTTTATGTACATTTACTACATTTTACTGTGTTATTTGTATTTCCATTCATTTTATTATAAATTTTGATATTTCATTTATGGAAAAATGTCATAACTGAGATTAATATAAAAATAAAATCATATAAATTTCATAAGATGATACGGTACCCTTGTCAGTTGAAACTGAAAAATCAAATTAACTTCTCCACACGTGTTTCGCAAAGTAAAGGCGTTAACAGCGGAGAAGAATGCTTAACTCAAATAACGCAACTTAATTGCATTCTGGATGGTCTTCCGTACTTTGTAATTACAACCTGATTATAAGCACAAAATTACATTTCTTAATTATTGCAGGTCTTCTAATTAGTCAAAACGATACAATTTACAACGCGCTAAAAAAGATCTATCTCATAAGGACACTTACAAAAGTGGACGCGGCTTTTAACTAATTTTATAATATTTTAACTACTAAAATGTAAAAATCTATTATAATTAAAGAAATAACAAATAATTGTATTAAAAATTCATTTTTCATCGAAAACTTTTTTTGCTTTCAGAAAACATTGTCCATATTCATAAAAACAACTAAAAGCAAATAAAAGCATTTGAAATTAAATATCTTTTTTTATTGAGTTTTTTGTACGTTACAATTCAGAGCTGATTTTCAGGGAGGGGAGATCCAATTAAAAACAGCAAAAACATGATTTGCATTCCTCAAAGCCTTGTGCTTTTAACTATTGTAATCACTAAAGTGGACTCGATCAAATTTCTAGAGTTTCATAAATTAGTTATGGGGGTGGGTAATAAATATAAAAATTTTATTTCTGCCATGACTTTAATAAAAAAAAAACATTTATAATAATTTCGGTTATCTGTGAATAGTTTCTGAAAGTTTCATTAACATCAAACAATTATTTTTATTTTTGCAAGATTTTCCAAATTTATGTGTGTCATACAAAAAAAAAAACCAAAAAAAAACGTGCTAAAATTGTATATGTTATTTTACTACTTCCGGTGATACAAAGACACAAGGTTTTTTAATCAAAATTTAGAATCTTCTAAAAAGAAGGAAAAATTTAAAAAAATAATTAAAATAAACTTTTCTTCTTCATAATAACATAAACATTTAGACGATAAAATTTTGTTTTCGTCAAGTTTGGCATTTTTTTCATCATGCTATGCTCTTTTTTTAGCGATATCGTGGAGGTACCTATAACAGATAATGGTACGCCGTTTACGGCAGCGGAATTCAGGAATTTAGCAGAGAAAAAGTCACCACCGTACCACCCGAAATCAAATGAATACGCAGAAAAATTTGTAGATACTTTTAAAAGAACTTGAAAAATTCAAGGGATAGAGGAGATGGAAGAATCCCTTCAACAATTTTTGGCCACTTATAAACAAACTCCAAACACACTTGGTGCTACTTCGCCGGCAGAACAAATGTTTAAATGGAAAATAATATCGGCATTTGATAAACAGTTGTCGATGAGTACACTTATGTATAAAATTACATCCTTTTTCAAAAAGGCGAATTATTGAGAATTATTGTTATTAAATACAATTGTGGCACGAGGCCGAAAAGGGGGGATGGGTTGAGGTTGGTCTTCGCTAACTATCTTATACCTAGCTAATCCGATTCACGACTCATTACAATTTTCACATTCACCACAAGAACTCATCCGTCACCAATCAATCCTCCGTATACCATAATGCCGCATACTCACAGGAAATCTAAAAAACGAACCCCCATGACATAAAAATTTTCGAACCAATATTATTTTGGATTTACCAAGTAGGTAAAAAAATCGGTCCAGGAAGGATCTACAAACACATCAACAAGGTGGTGTATTTGATTTAGGGAAAATGGATCACACAAGAGGCATATCAAGATCCAGGAAATATAATGGAAAGGGGTCATTATTATTGGAGTGACTATATCATTTTATTCTGATAGCCACTCCAGTTGTTAAAAGTAAAGACTTTTTTTATAGGGGGAGGAGGAGATGTTATACCCTAAGCAACGAGGGGTCTCGCCCGCACGTGTATAAACGTGAGAACGGAACGTGGGCAAAGGAGAGACAGCAACGGCCAAAAGCAGGTTTCAACAGATCTTGTCGAGCTCTCTGCATTTGGGGAGGTTGACAGCTAAACAACCCCGTGTATATGGGGTCTGGTCAATTTTGCACGAGCCTACAGACTTGGAATCGGCCCACGCAAAATAACCGGTCTTGTACCACATCCGGCCTTGTGAGGAGGTCTTGGGTAAACACCAAGTCAGCAACAGTTGTTTCCAAACTCGTTTCTGACATTTTCAGACCGGTGAAGAAGGTTTACAAATGATCCTTTGGATTATACTTTCTTTTAAAACAGAAATACTTTTTGTTGAATTATTTTCACTTATTTTTTCTTTATTCTTTTTGTTTGAATCGAACTTTCGATTTTCTTTCTCTTACAGTTTCAGTTTTCTCTTCTACTTTGGCCGCCATTTGTAACTTTTTTCCTGGTCTGACGTAAGTCTTACCAGACAACTGTATTTATTTTATTCTGTTGCTATTTTGTTTAATTTATAGTTCATTTTAATTTATTATTATCTCCTCTATTTGAAGGAACTTTTTGAAGAAACTTTTTGAGCAGAAATTGACGTTTTGAATTTTTTTCTTGCCAGTTGTTTAATTTTTTTAATTTTCCATCCTCGGCTTTCGACCGACATTTAATTTATTTTATTTAGATTAACTGCTAATTTCCCCACACTATTGTTTTTATTTGTATTTCTTAAAGTTGATTTTTAAACCTTTTTGTCTGATTAGGCTGTGATAGGGATGGTTTCTCCCAACACCACAAATTGCTGCAAAACCTAAACATTAACTTAGAAACTCGATTCATATCCTTAAAAAAAGTGTAATCAGATCTTGACTTTCATATGGATGCCATACATGGTACCAAACTCGATCAGAAATATCTTAACTGTTTGCTGTATACAATCGATTTCTCAGATGAATGATTAAAAATGGCTTTGAGCGAGTGAAGCCTGTGTGTCTTTTCGAAGACCGCCACTCTTCGAACATTATGGACTGGCGTTACAGAAACACAACATAAACTGTACCAGATAACAGAACCCACATCACTTTATGACTTCCAACAGCGGCAACAAGTAAAATGAATATCACATATAACCTAAAGAGAAGATAATGGTATAATCAGTGTTGATAATTCACATTACTTCAAATGAACGATTAGAGAGGAAACCTACTGGAAAGAAGGATAACAGCTACTGCACGCGAGAAGCCCATTCCCTGAAAAATCTTTTATGAGAAAGACATAAATCTCAACCGATCTTAATACAGCTGCTCGCTCAATGAATCTAGAATGTTTCTTTATAAGGAAACAGTTAATTTTAGCATTACCATTTGTTGTATCTCAAAAATAAATTTCTCACCTTATCCACAGCAAAGATGTATTCATCTTTGCAGAACCCATACATATTTGACCCTGGAACATCTTTGTAGTCGATATAGTCGACAACTCCAGGCATAGAAAGGGCCTCAGATGGGTCAACGTTTATAAGACGAGCGTGAGCCTTTGTACTCATAACAAGGGCTAGGCGAAGTTCATCTGCATAAAAAAATATTAAAAACATTTACTTTTTTCCCAAGAAGTTGCTATACAGTGTAAAAGTGTAGCTGGTGTAAAGTAGCCAATGAACCGTTTAATTAATCCGTTCCGTTTATATTTTTAGACTTTCAGTCGTATTGCTCCTGATCTTATATAAATCGCTTTTTGCTAAATATTTTTACATGTTAAAATTTTTATGTGTTTAATGTAACAGTGAAATGGAAATATCTCATGGAAGAAAAATATTATCAACAGAACAACAAAGATGCCGATGACAAAACTTATTTGAAAGTCACTTAATAGACAAAGGTATCCGAGTGTCTCATATGAAAGTTTTCAACAAATAAGTTTCCAATCTAAGAAATGTAGGAGTAAAGGAACGGATTAATTAAACGGTTCATTTTGCTCGAGAACTAATGTTATCTAAATGCAGATGAATATTTGTAAAGATTATTAAAACGACTAAGGGAAGTTATCACTCATAAATTACCTAAGTTGATTTACTTCCCTTTCCACTACAGATGGGACAGGAAATATATAAACAAATATTATATGGTTTGATATATATTCTCTCTCTCATATATATATATATATATATATATATATATATATATATATATATATATATATATCGCCTTTTGTAATTGAAGTTTTTACCAAGATGGCCAGTCCAGGGATTCCAACTCTACGGCAGCACCTTCCTCATTGAACTAAAGAGGTTGGATCGGTGTAATATCGATGTCAGCGTGACAGTGGTCGTGGGGGCTGGACAAAAATTGATTTTTTGTCCTTGGCCCATATGTATAAGTGTGTATGGCGCTCTCCACTTTTGAACGACGTTGTGTCACATCCAACCTTGGTGGGGAAAAAAGGTAAATATATCTGCTTTGTTCTACTGATATAAGGCGAGGGGCACACAGACGAAATTTAGCTAGACGTGAATTTATAAAGGATTAGTTGAATAAAGGTAATTTTAGCTTATTTGGGAGCCCTTAACAAAGATGGAGCTTACTCGCATGCCAGTTGTCTCTCAGGGTCACATTATGTGAGGACTGCTTTAGATTTGGGTTGCTAAAGACCTGTTATAAGACTCGTTATTTAATATCGTATACTTGAAGTCAAACACTATCGGAAGCAGAAACAAATTTGGTACAGTTGGCACCAAGAAAGCATACCCAAATGTATTATATCAAAAGTACTTCTGTCGCTGTTTATACAGTTTTGGCTGATTTTACAAGCAAGAGACTTGGTAGTTGAATCGTTAATCATTTGTGGGACATGGGCGTTAATGAGTTATATGTATTGCTATAGAAGTGTTACCTGGCTGTGCTGGCCGATTTGGGAAATAAATGACAATAAAGACATTGATGGTGATTTTTTTTTTAATTGACACCACTATTTTGCTGTACTGATTAAGCTTAACACCACATCAGGCATTATAAGATACGTCACAAAACAGGTTGTATTGTACGCTACTAAATATCTATTCTGGCTTGACTAAGCGCAAATTAGATTATGACATGAACATTAGGGACCGACATTTCAGGGCATCTTGAAAATGTATATATATGTCAACAGCAGGCAAAGTAAGTTTCGTAAAGCTATATAAATACATTCACAGCAGTAGAAGTATAAATACAGGATTTTTTTAAAAACCTATAATTAATACCATGCTTTAGAAATCTATAATTAATGACGTATTTTTGTTTTAATCTTTTTATAATTAATATCGGATTATAAGGTGAGTATTAGTGGATTAAGTAGCAGAGAGGTATGCTTATTGAATTATAATTTTGCAACGATGACAAAAATGAAGAAATGTTAAACGTAAATTATAATTATGTTTCCAGTTGTTGATTTTAGTAACTGCGAAGCAGACAATATTTGATTATATTAATTCATAGCCGATTTATAAAGAAAAAGCTACTTGATTTGAACAAATTCTATGCATTTAAGTATGTCATTTCAATGAGATTTCTCAATTAGAATGTCACTGACGATATTTACTTGTATCGTTAATATATAAATACGTTTGATAGGATATTCTTTACTGGAAACTTTGGAATAAAACGATGTGACTCACGGGTATAAACTAAATAATACATTTTAAATTATTTGCATTTGAGTTAGTTCTTTGAGATTCGGTGTCAAAAAAAATATTTGTTTATAAGGCGAATTTAGGTAGCAGTCTGGAGAAATGTCCGTTTCAGCCCGGTATTCGATAGTTTAGAATTTAGCACTTGATAGTAGTCATCTTAGAAATAGGTCAGCGTCAATCTGCTGTATTTTTCTCGGTCCTAAGAAGAGCAGAAATATGATTAACAGATGACCTCTTTACTACTTTTCTGGTTTCTGTAGCGGTCACGTCTCTTGCCGTCACTCTCTCTTACCGTCCTACTTCTTGTTCAGTGCTGTCAGCTTATATACTTTTGACCAGGCGCCAAGAGTCTGGTGATAACTTTAGTTTCAGCTAACATCAAAAGTCTCTTTTGTGCTAACTTTTTTTGATTGGCCCAAATTATTTTATTTTCCGGCGTTTCTTTTTGTTTTCATTTTTTTATTTTTATAATGGAAGTTATTCGCGGAGCGTCCTGATTTTTGGTAGGTTTACAAATAAGTATGCTCGGTTACTGTAAACTTCCCGCATTTTCGTACGGGTTCAGTTTTTTTTTTTTATTTGAGGGTTGCTTCCTCGTGAGTTGAGAGAGAGAGAGAGAGAGAGAGAGAGAGAGAGAGAGAGAGAGAGAGAGAGAGAGGGTTTTTAAGAAAAGCGCAAATGCCTTATTTTAATTTGAATTCTTTTTACTTTTTTGTTTATACATTTTATTTTATATTTTATTTTATTAGAACTCACTCTAAATATTTTAACTTTAACTAAAAACGTAATTAGGTTATTGAGAATTTATGCGTTAAAAAGCTTCAAATTGCAAATTAAACAGGTTAACCTACGAAGATTTGTACATAACTATTAATATTCGAATGGTTCTTATTTATTTTCTTATATCCTTATTCGATATTTTGGATTAAGTTAAATGTAACTACCCGAAATTGATCAAATGCAAATGGTAAAGAAATCTTGGCTGATATGAAAATGGCAGCCAAAACAAATTCTGCGAAAGAAGTAAAATGTTGAAGATATGGACTTCGTTGAAGAAATAAAAGGTCGAATAAAAGTCAGATAAACGGAACGAATCACCACCCCACAGGAAAACTGTGAAACGCAGAAAAAAATAATGTTACTTACTCTCATATTTTGGAATGTCATCGAGGTAGATTGCCTCTCCGGTAGCTTGTTTAAGACCGGACATATGGACAACAGGCCGTCCAACAAGATCTGTCTTCAACTGTCCAGGGTCCAACTTTTCGAATATTTGACTGCCTTGGCAGGGTTCATAATGAATACCTTCACCTCCGCTTAATTCTTCCGGTTTAACCTTAAAAATAATATGTCAGCAAACATGGATAAATGTGCCTACAAAGACGGAGTGTCAAAAGGACAGTTTTTCGGATGACGCATCTTTTTTTTTTTTTTTTTAGGTACGTTCGCATTTCGGGATTGTTTATTGTTTTAAAAAGCCAAGATTATAATTGGAATAAAAGGTAAACACATGATGAAAGTGAATTTATACATTTTTTTGGTTCTTGAGAATTTAAACCAAAAATATTAAACACTATTTATTAGATTGTTTATTTAAATGAATAATAATTTTATATTTACAACATTTTAATAACTAATACAGTTAAAACTAATGCAATGCAATACTTATCATTTTCCAATTCATAAAGAAATAAATGTGAAAAAAATATTTTATTCATAAATTTATAAATATTTTTTAAATTATTGAAATATATGGAGCAACTATAAGTAAATCATTATTTACCATTTTATAAAGTTTGAATCAACTGGCAATTAACCGATGTTTTGCTAATCATAATAAATAAATAGTATAAATAAACAATTTAATAAATAAATAGTATTCATTATTTTTGTTGTCAAGAAGAAACTGCATAAATTCACTTTCATATGTCTAGGTTTTATTACAATTTTAATCATCGCTTTATGAAACAATAAACATTGTCGAAGCGGCGAAGAGCGAAGGTAGTTAAAAAAAAAAGGTGTCATGGGAAAACCGTCTTTTCAAACTACGTCCATAGCATCCTTCTAACACTTTACTTTCAATCTCAATATTTGTGTAAATCTGTACAAAAAGTGGATCACAGAGCCTTGATATTTTTCTCACTTTTCATTGGTCAGTTAATATTTAAATCGTGTTTTCAATTACGTCCGAATAACATCGACCTAGTCTCTGACCTGACGAAAATAGATTTTCCGCTAAAATTAGAAAGACTTCCCGGGGCCTGTCACGTAATTACGTCGATTATAAATACCAGACTCAAGTTCGTCCATCCTTCTTTTTTATTTCTCTCGCTTAATAAAATGTTGCTGTTAAAGAAATCGCGTTTCGACCCGTTGCAGGCGGACGATATGAAAACATATTCACACACGTACACATACACGTACGTACGAAAGTTAATTACTAACATTACGAACATTACAGAACATTACAAGCATCAACATATTACGAATATTCAACTACAAACAACAGAAACTTAATTACAAACATTACGAACATCCACTCTTTCAATTTACAGAATTCTTTCAACTCTCTCACACTGAACATTTTGAGCGGCAAGTTCATTCAAATTTTTATGAGCTCAGATAAAAAATATTTCATTAGTAAAGACTTTAATTCCAGTGAAAGAGAAGTAACCCCTATGCTTCATTACATACTTAAATATAAATATGAATATTGTTCTTGTTATCAAAGCTGTTTTTCGTGTTTTTCGTGTTTTTCTCTTGTTTGCTTTTCGTTTGCTTACGCATTTGTAAAGTAAAAAATGTACCGGTTGACTTAGGCCGTCAATACGGCTACACGTCTTATTGCGAGCATGTTTGTCCATATTTACCAACACGTCCTGATGCTACACCAGACCAGGTTGCCATAGCTTCTGATTTTAATTAATTTGGGAGTGTTAACATGTACATAATTTGTCTTGGTGAATTAAAATATTCTATTTTGCTATGGTCACCATAGCAAGTAGGTCTTTTTATGGGATGATGTTACTAACTTAAGAAGTATGAAAATGAAGTAGTGTATGAATTGTTTCAAAAAGTTTCAAGTATTAGTGTCTTATAATCTGCATTTATTATACGGGGTGGGAGTTGCTTTAAAACAAAGAGCCGTTCCAAAAATGTTTGGTCATATGGTCAGATTTTAGGAAGTGGATTAAGCTGAGACCTTTGCAGCACCGTTCGTATTATTTTATGTACTCAGTGAGTATTTAGGACTTTATTGTATCAGAATTTATCTTCCACAAAGTCATTGTTGTCCAATACTGCCTAGCAGAGAAAACAAACTAATGACTTACAGGAAAATGGCACAACCAAGACAAGGAAGATATCCAAAAAGAATCCTTGAAATCTAAAACATTTCATGTGAGACATTCAAACAGAAAATGCCTCTGTGCACATTCGCTTCAAGTGAGTTTTTCTGTAAGTTGGTGCTAGTTGTACAAATCAATATAAAGTCGTTATATTCCCCGTTTATAACAATTATATACAGATAGAAAAACAAATTTTGAGTATGTTCGGATCACTATGATGCTAGGAGGAAAGTTATCAGCCCGACCTACTTAACAGTATTCTAATGTTTGTTCATTGAAATATTGATTTTGGTAAATAGGACGGACCGAGAAATTTCCAGTAACAGCTGGAAGACTTTGTTTCATTTAATTTATATTAGAATATTATTTATATCTGAATTTCTGGAATGAGGAGTTAATTACTGCCGAATTAACGTTCTTATCGATGTCATTGACACAACGATTTTGCCATGGTGGACTCCAGTCTATTTCAGGAGTCTGTTAATATGAGTAACCTCCTGGGATTTTGAATTGAAAGTTTTATGTAATCTACTTGGATAGATTATTCTCGCGTGATACCCACCTAGAAAAGAGAAATGTGGTTTTATTTCGATCTGTTTTATAACCAGCAAGTGGTTTCTTTTATAGTTTTCTAAGCAAGCGACATCCACTCTGATTGAAGAGGAACGGAGAATTAAAGGAGTGAAGGAGGAATTTTTGGAGATCAAGTGACAACCAAACTGGAAATAGGGTATATCCGGACGATGGTCTATATTGACAGTGATGCTTGAGATCGGAGTGGGTTCTGGTCCGCTTTTGGCTGGAGACGGACTTGTCCCGAGCGTGATTCCGGTGCCATTCCATTCGTATTGCCAGCGATATGTCGGGATGTGTAGATAGGCAGGGATTGGTAGTGGGAAGAGCTGACCCAGCATAAGTTGTTGAAAATGCCACCTACTCTACGTAAGACAAACGCAAGAAGCACTGAATAAAAAATGCCTATTTTATAATATGGGAAACAGGGTTTGTGTTATTATTACTCGATGAGGCGTTTGTCGCATCTTTCGGTACACAACGACGAAATCGAGAATCAAAATGCAATGTGGGATAATCATTGGCCAGTTATGAGGCTTGAGCGAAGATTGCGTTGCCAGTTTACACTCGTTCCGCTGTTCATGTCTAGCGATATCCCGGTTTATTCTTTTTAGTACTTGTAATATAGCAACAACTTTAAATAGAAGCTTATAAGGTTTTATTTGACTAATTCAGCTTTACCGCTGAAAACGTTTATTTTATTATAGTAGATGGTTACAAGTGAGAAGGGAGATGGGATGTGCTTATTTTATTGCTACAGTGATGCTCAGTTATTGTTCGCCTGCTTCCAGGGAGTCAGTCTCTACTACTCAGGCCAAGAATTGAACTCGTAATTACTATGCTGCCAAATTCACGAAGCAACACTTTAATCTTTTTAGTTATTATTTCATCTAATAGTTTTCAGCAATTAAATCTTTGGCACAAAATTTGTCACAGGATGATCCTGTTTATAGAAAACCTAGTGACGAACGATTTTTTAATTGTTTTTTAATCAACAACAATTGACAAAGCTAATCAATATTCATGTAATGAAGTTGCTGTGGTGATAAATAGTAACAGGTGCGGGATAATGAATATAGCGAGGTTTGAATCTCTCATATTTAACATTACATTTTATTCTTCATTATTTACATTATTCGGACTATTGTCCTCATCTTTGTCGCCATATTTATCACAACGTTTCGGCTGTTGTACGCTCCGGCCTTCTTCAGGTGGTTGGAATGTCGAACTGAACCCTTTATTTCGCTCACTGGGGTAGACTGTTCTAGTTCCACGTGCCATGTTTGATGGATGTCAGTTATCAGTTATCTCCTGTTAATTTCCCTCTGAAAGTTCTCCACTGCCTTTACCGGGTATTGAACTCACACTCTTTGGGTCCTGTCACTAGATCTAACCAACGCCTTTATCCACTGTGCCATCAAACATGGCACGTGGAATTAGAGCAGTCTACCCCAGGGAGCGAAATAAAGGGTTCAGTTCGACATTCCAACGACCTGAAGAAGGCCGGGGCGTACAACAGTCGAAACGTTGTGATAAATATGGCGACAAAGATGAGGACAATAGTCCGAATAATGTAAATAATGTAAATAATACCTCATCTCAGAAATATAGACAGACATTTTATTCTCTTTCAATGCTTTGTCAATTACTCTCGACCAGTGTGTGTGCGTGAAAGCGTGGCCTCGCGTTGTCTACTGAAACGTGGACACTACATTCTCGTTTACGATGTATGAGATATTGCCAAATTCGTCTTTGGAGAAGTTGTTTGCACAACTGCGTGCATAACGAGTGTTTCCCATGCTCACAAATCCGGATGCAGCTGTGAGATCACGTGATTCAACATTCGGCGGTTGGTGGGGTGGGGGTGGTTGATGGCGATGTAATCTCAGGTCAACTCCGTACCTAACTTCCTTTGGTGGTCTGGTGTGATTTTCAGTTTAAATTCCATTCTGTGATAATACTACATTTACGTTTAAAACAATCTGATTAAAAAAATAACATAGAGGTTTATAAACAATTAACAACAAACAATTCTGAATCTGAAACCGAAGTAAATAATGAAACACAATTGATGGAATAGCGGTGGAAATGAATGCATGAATCCAAATTAAAAGATGGTCGTTCAACTCTTAAATCTTATTCTGCCGTGAAAAATAGATTGAAATTAGAAAGTCGTGACACATACTTTGAGTTGAAGTTGTTGGCAAACGTTCAGAAAGAACTTGAAAAAGAAACTGGAACAAAGTGTTTGACGATATCTGGCCATTCCACCGGGAACATCCGGGCTCAGAGGTAGCTCTGTAGTCAGCCAATCACACATATCAGTCACCAGCATGTCATCCCATTTCCTATGTATATAAATATATATATAAATACATGGCTTATCTAATATTCATAATATTGAATATACACAGTAAGCATTATTTATTATACTCAAGTTCCAGGCACATAACATTAGTTTTAAAAATGTTAAGTCAGTAACACCAAAGTAATATTTCCATCTATTCAAGAATACCCAGTCCAACAAGGAAGGAAGTCAACTTCACAAAACTGGAAGGAAAAGGTGCCTTTGAAGCTGATAGGTGCCATAATTTTCTCTATAGATCAGTATTTTTACTTCAGGGCGCACTTGTAGAGTAACTAAAAATTTGGGGCTCGCTTTAAATTTTAATAAGGAAAAATTAGTCATGAAATTCGAAAATATGAAATTTTGGTTTGGCATTCTTAAAGAAGACTAACAGTACAATTTTCATTTAAAGGGATTTATAAAGAATCTGCTTTTTTAGAAAGAGAAGCCGATAATGACCGATTTAAATCTCTTGAGGAAGGCAAAAAAGAATGGATTATACTTCCCTTAAAGATTAAGGAATTTAGCATCCAGTTTAAAATATCAAAAGATTTGACTTAGACGTGGAAGACATGTACTTGTTGTCTCTAGCTTTTTAAAAATAAATATATTTTTTTAAATATAAAAATAATTTATAAGTTACTCTTCAGTTGACTTGGGGCGCATTCAAGTACGCATGAGTGGTGCCCAGGCGCACTGGTTGAGAAACGCTGCTATAGATAGTCTGTGAATGTTTTATATGAACCAGTTTTGACTAAAAATCTTTACTTGCAGACGTCGTTCAAATAAGTCATATAGTTATTACTTCTTAAATCTCTACAATGCAGGCACCTTGTTTGTCACTATACACTAGTAGTTTTTAGTAGTTACTATACACTACCAGAATTTGAGACTAAGCATTATTATTAATTTTTTAATCATTTTTAATAATCTTATTCGAAAGACAACTTAGGGATACTCGACATTATTGAGAATTTGCAGGTGGCAGCGCTGCTTGAAACAGCTCATGTGCCAAGGGAAGTGTTGTCTTTTTAAGCTACGGATAGGGGATGAGACATGAGGTCATCACCCGGTTGAAACGTCTAAGAGTCAGAGAAAATCTCAAATTAATAATAATAATAATAATAATAGGTTTTGATAAACTCATTGAAGGGTTCCTCGGTAACCCATGCCTTAAGGAAATACAAAAAATTGTTCTCACAAGTAGCTTACGAAGGGATTTATCTATGTAAAATATGTTATCTTAAAGTTGTCTTTTTTTTACAAAAATGATCAGTGAAAAATGTCATGATACCATTTCTGACCTTAGGTCTCTGGTTGGGATCCGGAAGGAAGGGATACAACAGAAATCAAAGGAAATAATAATAATAATAATAATAATAATAATAATAATAATAATAATAATAATAATAATCTGTTTTGTATGTCTTTAATCCCCCTTATGAAATGAACTAAACAATACTAGCTATGGTTATAAACTAAGCAAGAAAGTACTTAATCACCTACACTACATGGATGATCTCGAACTCTTTGCCAAAGACGAAAGTGAGTTGAAGGGTCTCATCAATACTGTAAAATGTTTCAGTGACGACATAGGTATGGATTCCGGATGCGATAAATGTGCAAAAGTAACATTCAAGAAAGGGAGAATTACAGAAGCATATTCAATAGATTTAGATTTTGGCACAAAGATTAGGGAACTGGAACAAGAAGAAATCCTATAGGTACCTAGGAATTAACTTAGAAGATGGTATACAACATACCCAAATGAAGGAGAAGGTAAGAAATGAGTATTACAGGCATGTGCTTCTGGTACTGAATACTGAGCTGAATTTTAAAAAAACCCCAAAAAACAGAATATCAGCCATAAGCACCTTGGCTGTCCCTGTGGTGCAATACAGTTTCAACATTCTTAACTGGACCATAATTGACATTAAGCGAATGGACGCTAAAACGAGAAAGCTTCTCAAGTGCCACTGCATGCACCATCTCAAGGCTGACGTTGATCGGCTGTATATGTTCAGATCCGAAGAAGGCAGAGGATTAGTTCAACTAGAACTGTCTTACAAAACTACAACAATTAGCCTTCAAAAACACCTAGAAACTACAGAAGACTGGATGATAATCAGTGTCAAAGAACATGAAAGTGGTAAGCGACTTTATTCAGTAATAAAGGAAGCCAACAAGTTCAAAATGGAGTTTCAAGTGTGTAAAGAAATATAAGTAAAGCATAATACACTGACTGAAGCTGCAAAATACTTTAAAAAGAAAGCAAAGGCAAACACAACTGACCAGATACAGAAACGATGGCAAGATAAACTGCATCACGGTCAATACTCTCCCCGTACCAAAAAGTTGATGTAGATAAACCCCGTACCCATCAGTGGCTACGTAGTTTAGGGTTAAAAGCTGAAACTGAAGATTTTATTCTTGTTGCACAGGACCAATGATTGCTAACTAGAAATTACCATGCACACACAGTGAAAAATTGTGTTAGCCCAAAATGCAAATTCTGTGATAAATATCCAGAAACAATTGACCATCTTGTATCAGGTTGTGTGGTATTGGAACACACTGAATATAAACACGGCGCGACAGAGTATGACAATATTTGCACTGGAAAATCTGCAACAATCAAGGAAAGGAAATTGCAAGAAATTGGTATGAACACCACCCAGACCCAGTTATGGAGATAGGACCTGTAAAAATTTTAATATTTACAGACAGAACAATCAAAGCTAATCGCCCTGAAATCGTGATTAGAGACCGTAAAGACAAAATGTGCCTCCTTATTGTCATGGCAGTCCCCGCAGACTGCAATGTATCTTTGAATGTTCTTCAAAATCTATCAAAATACAAGAACCTTGAAATCGAAATCTCAAAAATTGGGCGCATGAGAACATTAACAATTCCAGTTGTAGTTGGATTCCTCGGATTGATTGGAAAAGACAATAGACTCATTGAAGGAATCCCAGGTAGCCCATGCCTTAAAGAAATACAAAAAATTGTAGTCACAAGTACAGTTCATACATTACGAAGGGGTTTATCTATGTAAAATATGTGCGTTTTTTTTTTTTCAAAACTGCTCAGTGGAAAATATCATGATGCCATTTATGACCTTAGATCTCTGGTCTGGACCCGGAAAGAAATGAGTATACACCAGAAACGAAAGGAAATAAAACAACAACAATAATAATAATCTTCACATACATAGTTATGTGAGGTTCTCATTTTAAAATACTTGGGACTTTATACAGTTTGAAATATCTACGATCCCTCTCGTAATATTTGCAACAATGGTTAAATTCCTCTATAGAAGAAATTGGTTCGATTAGATGAATGTATGACGTAATGTAATGGTTAACAACACGAAAACGGAACCAAAGAAAAGTGCTCGAATTTCAGTTGAATATCATGTTCATAATAATGCTTTTTTGAAAAAAAATCTTTTTAGTGCCATAACCATTCAAGACGTTGCAGATTCGTTTATTTTATTATCTGTGAATTGCCATGGGAACTTGGAAAAGATAGAGGAGTAGCTTCTTGTTGCCTTCTTCACGGTTTGATTTCAGAGTTTACCTTCTCTTTCTCTGTTTTCCTACCCAAGGCTAAAGGTCGCGGTCTATTCTACCATTTAATCCATAGCTAGAAGGGAAAGGAAAGGATGCATGCCTTTCTTCAGAATATTTATACGAAAGTGAATATAGGAGATCAGCCCAGAATTTTAACTCGGCTCGTCGATTTCACTTTCCATTAAACTAACGAAACATCCCATTAATACCATAAAGATGGTATAAATACAGTATATGATTTATTTATTTTATTTATACGGAGTTTAAAGGATACACCAAGTTCCGTGTAGATATAAATAATTGTAGTCTCACCTGCCAATAGCTTTCTCCATAGCTTTTGTTGCCATTGCTGTTATTGGTCTCATTCCCCCGAAAACCAGTGAAATATCTGAGACCACATGACTGTCGTCCTTGAACTTGACCCTAAAGCCAGCATTCACAATAGCAATATCATCTTCACGACGATGAGACTGTTTGTAACCCCTCATGTACTCATTCTGCAGATCATTAAAAAAAACAAACAAATATCATATCATGAAAAATTATTTTTATGAGCAGTTTAGTCATTAATGTCGTTTTAAATACAAAAAATCGTACAAAAGAAAAGCTTAAGTGAAATAAGCTAAACGAAACATAGGATGATAAGTTCGAAATATCTATATAAGCAATAAACCTATTGAATTCAAATTTATATATATATATATATATATATATATATATATATATATATATATATATATATATATATGTTTGAAACAGTATAAAACGTATTATGGCATAAAAAGCAAGAAATTTTATATTATAGGCCATGATAGATTTAAAATAAAAAAAAAAGCACACACCAGTCGACTGGTTTCGTCCCCTCTCATCAGAACTGTTAACGGGGAACACATATTATGAAGAAAAAAAAAAAAAACGAAAGTCTGTCATGGATGACGTGATGAATGGACAGGGAGAAAAAAATATATATAATTATAAAAATTATACCAACAAAAATGTTAGAAGCGCTTCTAGCATTTTTTGTTGGTATAATGACAGACTTCCGTTCTTTTCTCTTCATAATTTGTGTTCCCCGTTAACAGTTCTGATGAGAGGGACGAAACCGGTCGACTGGTGTGTGTTTTGTTTTTTATTTTAAATCTATCATGGCCTATAATATAAAATTTCTTGCTTTTTATGCCATAATATATATATATATATATATATATATATATATATATATATATATATATATATATATATATATATATAAGCATTACGCCCCAAGCAAGGCGTGAAGCCACTAGGATGCAGGGGGTTTGGAAGATTTGGAGCGAGAGCAGATAGGAGTGATAGAAGAAAGGATGAGGAGAACGATAGTGGGTAGATCAAGGTAACTGGAGATGTCGGTTGACATTACATTTGAATAGTTGGAGATTATAGCTTTCAGGAAAACAGTAATTGGGGAGGGTGTTCCACTGGCGAGAGGTGCGATGTATGAAGCTATTGGAGTAGAAGAGACGGCTACATTTGAAAGTTTCTACGATGTAAGGGTGGAAGCGGGATGCCAGCCTCGTAGGGCGCTTGAATTCATGGAGTCTGGGAACTAGTGAAAGCAGCTCATCAGAGCAATTACCATGGAAGTATTTGTAGAAAAGACAGAGAGGCGACGGCGCGTCTGTGAGAGAGTGACTGCAGGCGAGACGCTAGATCAGGGCCAATTAGATTACATATCCGTATATATATATATATGATGGACAGTACCTTTTCATAATAAAATGAGCAACAATAGACTTTTATTGAAAACTAACAATTAATGCAACATTTAAGCATATTTAGATTTCGGCATTAAATAACCCATAGAGGTGTTGATATTCCGTCTTCACCGCCCCCCCCAAAAAAAAACAAAAAACAAAAAACAAAAAAACACGTGAACTTTGAACTTTGAAATCTAGAACGCTGCATAAGTAGTAAAAACGAATAGTTGAAATGTATTGAATCTGGTCTCAGATGAGATTGAAAGTACTTGGAAAAATAAAAACTATTTTATAGAAAAGCTTGTTACTTTTCTTAATCAATTTTCTAATGTTACCAAGAAATTAATCCGCGACTTGAAAGGATCACAACGAAAACTAATCGACATGATTTGTCTATATTATTTAAACAAACTTGTTTGAATGAAAATATGTTGCCTAAATATACATATATATATATATATATATATATATATATATATATATATATATATATATATATATAGCTTATAGCTTATCCTGTTCATTGTATTTTATTTTATTTTGTATTCTATCTGTTAAACAGGCCTTAATGTCAGGTTTTGACAAAATCTTTTTTTTTTCTTCCTGAATTTGTAAAATATAAATCTGTAACAGGAAATGAATATTTTTTTAAGTAAATGCTCTGTTTATAATAAACAGTATTAACTACATTTACCGGCCTGAACGTCCGAAAAATTTCATAGAAAATGCGTGTCCCCCGACAGGAATTGAACCTGTATCCTACACAGAACCGTCATATAGCCTCTAGCTAAATAGTATAGCACGTAGGATTTACTTAAATATTTGTATTTCCAAAAATAACATATAAATAGAGAATATATTAAAATAAATCTGTAAATAAAGAACACATTTTCTTTATGAATTAAAAACGAATGACACATGTGACTGGAAGTTATGACCATTATGTCAAAAAGCAACAAAAAAGGCAGAAATAGTTTTGGTATTTTTTTTAACCTTTTGACTGTAAGGTATCTTTAAGGACACGATCACTTCATTTGGTTGCATGTCCGTAACTCTGTATCGCTTGAAGAAATCACTGTTCATCTTCACTTCTCTGTGTCCATCTTTGAAACGAGAAACAAAACAATTTGTAGAAATATAGGAACAAACAG